CATGCCAATTCATTAACTTTTTTGAAGGTGGGAGGGTCCCTTTAATGTTAATTTGGTACCGTGGGGAAAGATTCCACCTGCCCTGATGGAGAAAGAGCCCCCCTAAATCCGTAGGCCGCCCTTCAAGCAATCCGTCAAATTATTTATTACATACTTGCAGGCGCGTAACCACCACTGGGGACACTGGGGACCGGTCCCCAGTAGCTTTTGGGTTACTGGGGACCGTCCCCAGTAAAATCGATGACCTCCTCAACTTGCTTTAATAGCCAAATATTGTCTCTAAATTGACGTGAAGAGAGAGAGAGAGAGAGAGAGAGAGAGAGAGAGAGAGAGAGAGAGAGAGAGAGAGAGAGAGAGAGAGAGAGAGAGAGAGAGAGAGAGAGAGAGAGAGAGAGAGAGAGAGAGAGAGAGAGAGAGAGAGAGAGAGAGAGAGAGACAGAGAGAGAGAGAGATCCCTTTATTGGCAGACTCTGGGTCCATAAGAAGTAACACACAATGATGATGACGTAATATGTGGTCAACGGAAGACAAAACTATGGATGTTTTGTTTAGCCCGCGCCCGAGTAGGCCTCTCAGCAACTTCGCCATGGTGGGGGTGGGTTCTTTTTGGCCAAACAAGATTATCTCGGAAAGAAACAAGCTAGAAAGACGCGGTAAAAAGCAACATCTATAGCTCGCTACAGTATCTTCAGAATTACCTAAGTCATTTTTGATCAGATCACCGCTGAGGTCACTGGAGGTCACCAAAGGTAAAATTTTCACGAACTTTTTGTTCCCAATTTTGACAACTTTTCACAAATCGGCGCATAAATCGGCAACCAATAGAGCTGCAGTGCTGCGGGAAAGTGCATTCGATAGCTCTTTCAAAGGCCTTTTCTGAAGTGTTCTCAGATTTGACCAAAGGTCAACGGTTTAGCCTCCAGGTAGGCGTTTTTGCGGAAAAGGTTTTTGTATCATAACTTTTAACTCCAAACTTGTATGACGCTGATTTTACCGGCATCGCGTTTGTCTCGTCAAGACGCGTCGAATGAAGTATAAGTTGACCTATTTGACCCGAGGTCAAGGTCACGGAAAAGGTCATGTTGCATTGTCATTCGATTGGTATTGTTGAGCTGTTTTCATTCATGGTGTTTTTTAGCGCTCTAGCATGTTTCTGTCGAAAGTTATGGTAAAAAAAAACTATTGGAGATGTCTCATGACCTGAGATGACCTCAGGAGTCAGGGGCATGGAAGGGGTCACAGCCACAGGAACAATTTTCCGGTTCAGTGTGTCATGTTTACCCGTGTCACGGTGTTTGAATGTGTTTTCGGACAAAAGAAGAGCATTTCAATTTTCTCTCATTGACTTATCGTAAAATTGAGGTCGCAAAATTGACGTGACATTAGGTCGACAACGTGAAAACTTTGAGGTATACGAATTGTCCATACTGATTTTCCTCATGCAAAATCTCGAGTTTCAGACTTCTGGGATGTAAACTGTAGGAATTAGAGATGCCACTTTTGAACCCGCGAACCCGCTTTCTGCGGGTTTTAAAAATCCGCAGGATTTGTTGCGGGTTCAAGAAGCACAACTTAGTCGTTTGGCGGGTATTTGGCGGTCATATCTTAGAACCTATAAAATAATTTTCTTCTTTTTTTAATGCAAAATACAATGCCTGGTGCATTTGCTCAGGTTAACCCTATTCCTGGCGGGCTCCGCCGGGACAAGAAACTGGCGGGGGGGGGGCGATTCGGCCCCCCCCCCGAGATCTCGAGAACGAAGCAAGATAGCGACAAGCGGTAAACGGCAACGGATACGCATGGACAAGGTCTACAATTTTTACTAAGGTCATTTTCAGGTCAGGTCAAAGATGACGTCACAGGGGTCGAAAAAGTCAAAATGGCGGCGCTAGATATGGAGAGAGTTTTTCTCGAATAACTTTCGAATTAGTCAAGATAGGAACAAACTAAGGGCATCATCGTGGTCCTCTCGTCAATCCGCATCGAATGATGTATATGTTGACCTCGAAAGGTCAAGGTCAAAGGTTGACCTCAGGTCACGTGACCTCGAGGTCATCATGTATATCATTCGATGCGTCTTGACGAGCTGAACACAATGAGACCATCCACGCGTCTGTATCTTGTTCCTGTACGGAGTTATTGGCCAAAAACCTTTGGTGACCTTTGATGACGTCACATGACCTCACAGCTGCCCAACAGCAAAACAGACCTCAAGGTAGTGAAGGTTGATCGTATATGAAGTCATGTATGGTATATGGGGCCATTCCGACCCGTTTTAGTGGTAAAAACAGGGAGTTGATTTTTCCCCCATTGACTTATAATGGGGAGGTCGCGAAACTGACCTGACCTTAGGTCACCGATATCAAAATTCCGAGATATACGAATTGCACATACTGGTACCCTAACTAAAGCCTGAAGAGAAGAAATTGATCGGTCAAAAACTCTAGCTCTGGCGTGATTGCAAACTTTTCTGAGGTAGGGTCACCAAACCGCCTCTGGTGACCTGACCTGAGGTCAGATCAACTCAAAATTTTCAGACATGCTGCGTAGAAGCCTTTTAGGAAAAGTCAGAAAATTTGAGCTTCCTAGCTCAACGCGTTTGGGAGAAATAACCAAAAAACCTCAGGGGGGGGGGGCTCCTGAGGCCCCCCCGCCAGGAATAGGGTTAACAATAAAATATTCAACAAAACAATTCTAAAACAGAAGCAAATAGAAAAATATATCCAGGAAGCACATTTCAAATGCAAAACAACCAGCATCCCCACACTAGGAATGACAGTCATAAAGTTTTTTAGAGGCTTGACCTGGTGACCTGACCTTAGGTGACCTGGGGTCAAAAGATTCACACGATGCGAAATTGAGGTATCACAAGCTACCTATACCTACAAAGTTTAGCGGCGGTGCGCGCCGCGGTTTTCTTTACACGCGCAAAAAGAAATGGCAGGTGTGGGCAACCCCCCTCTCCATTCGGGCAAAAAATTATCCTAAAATATAATAGGTATTTGATCTTCGCGGCCCACCATGTGGTCCCCAGTAACTTCAGACTCGTGGTTACGCGCCTGCATACTTGTGATGAGCGACAAAAGCCGACCTGGGACTTTTGAGAGTCCAGTACGGTCGGGTGCTCCCCATGCCGGTCTCTCGGCCCACACAGCGACTTTTTGGGCGGCATCTGACTCTGAGAGCCCTCACGGCCACGACATCCTTTGAGGGCTCCTACGCTAGCTCCACGGGCCACGCTGGCATCTGAGGCCCCCATGACGGGCTCGAGGGCCCTCAAGCATCATGAAGACCTATAAGGGCCCCACAACGGTCTCCGAACGCCACCACGGAGGCTTATTTGGCCGTGCTGGACTATGATGGTCCTAACGATGATCTCTGAAGCCCCTTACGACTACTTTTGAGGGCCCTTACGATGACGTTTAGTGTCTACTGCAGGCTCGAAGGGACTACTGATTCTTTCAGGCGATTTACGTGCACACTGCACATTTATGTCACTTACAGTGCAGGGGGCATCTTCCCCAACGCCAGGGGGCGTCTTTTTCACCCTGCGGGGTAAGATGCCCCCTTTCACTTCTTCAGGAAAATGCCTGATAGCAAAAAAAAAAAAAACTATCATATTTCAGGCACAAAAGTGTGATATTTTTTTGAGAAAAATGATGTCGGCTTCCGTTGAAACTCCAAGTTTTTGCTTTTCGATTGTCATTTTCGAATAATATATGACATTGCAAAACCCTGGGCATCTTACCACACTCTCCCCACTATATGGTTTCACGACTGATATATAGTTTTTTTTTAAGTTAGCCCCTCACTGTAAACGTATTTTTTTTACGCTGGCGCTACCTCAGCTGCCATGCTGAAAGGACAAACACTTAAGCATTTTATTATGAATAATTTAGCCGGAAACGGGGTGGCCGGGCTTCCCCCCCCCCCCGGGGTTACCCACATTGAAAACGGCAGCACATACATTCATTTATTCGGCACATATGCAACGCGTTGCCGTTGTTGGTGCCATTGAGCCATCTAAGTTCTGAGACAACATCAATGTATGGTCGAGCAGAGCTTACGACGGCCACTTACTATACGCGAACAAAGAAATTGATAAGCTTTGTATGCGCTGGAGTTGGGTTGCACCATGTGAATACCACATTTTGACTGTACGATCTTTATTATCTCATACCGCATACGATCATTTGGCGTACGATCATTTAGGTACCTCGAAGATCTTTTGCGAATACGATCTTTCGTCCATACGAACATTATGTCGTACGATCTTTATCCATTATAACGACTCTTTGGCATAGTTGCGATCATTTTCCCGTTCACGATTTTTAGCGAATACGATATTTTGTCCATACGACTGAGCATTGTGTCGTATGTACCTACGATCTTTATCCATTACGATCTTTAGCATACGATCAACTTCCTACGATCTTCTGCCTTACGATGTGTTGTCCGGTTAGAGTCAAGCACAACTCACAAGCTCCAACCAACTCGCCGCACCCTGTACCCAAGGCCCTCCTGTACGGCCCTCCAGGTATTAAGTGGTTGGTTGCCAACATCACAATAAGCGATCTGCATTGATGAATACGTCTAATGGCTATTGAAAACCACTGCCGAAATGTGTGCACGAACCCTCTTCTCATTTCTATTGGGTCATTTTACAGGAATGTCTCTGTCATTCAAAGTTATTTCACCAAAAGCACATAGGCTAACCAACCACTCTTTTGCTGGAGGGCCGTACATACCCTGTACCCCCTGTACCCACCCCACTCTGCGACCTGCCGAATAAATTTTGAACTAAAGTTTTAGAAATGCTCGCTAGATGCCACTGCTTTCTGGCATAGTGAGTAATCTAGCAATTATTGACACAAGATCAGACCAATACAAATGTTGAAATTATTAAATTTCCAGAAGCATTCGGATGATAATTCCATGGAAAAAATGTTTAAAAATCTAAAAAAGTAGGTTCTTATCTTTAATTTCTTGCCGTCACTAAGTCAGTGGAGGCTTGCGATCTGTTTGTGGGCCGCGTTTTCTCGTTTTATTTCTACGAAACGACAGATGAATTGATAGCTGCTAGCATAATTGTCTTCAGCTCATTACATGAAATCTGTGCTATGGAGTGATATTTTGGTTTTTGGATTTAACGAAAGAAAACAGGCAAGTATACTCTGCGTCCTGCTCGCCGCCCTGCGCCAAATATGTATTTAGATTGCCGATGCGTTGTAATTGCAGTGCCCAAGGCAGTGCCATTTTTCTTATTTTATTTCTTCCGTGAATACTTATCTGAAACTGATAAGGTCTGGAATCTGTGCATATCTATTCAAGAGCCGCATTCGATCGCCTCTTTTCTTGTACTGTTTCACTTCACTGAATCATGGTTTGAATGTTTTTTTTTGCAACAAGAGTGTCTCCTTCCAAGTTAAAGTGAAAGCTTGTACTAGGCAGTAGTTACTGCTTTTCGTACATTTATACCTGTAAAATGCAGGGAACTGAATGTGCATAACAATCAAGATGATGTGTCAGATACCATATCACTCTTGTGGAATGTCAGGCTCTGCTTTTTCTGTGGACCTGAACTACTTGGGTGGAATCTGAAAGTAGGGCACCAGAAGGCATATTTAGTCATATGACTGCGTATAAATTCTCCCCCTCTGCTGTATTCCACAGGCTTATTGTCACATACATGATTTGTGCAAACAAAGTTCAAGCAGACTTGATCAAATCCCCCAGGCGCACTGTTTTTAGATTCCACCAAACTCAAACTATGGGCACCTTATGACTAATCACCCAGCTGTTAATAGGTTCTGAAATGACATGAGAATACCTAGCTTATGAGGAAGTCCTCTTATTTATTTACAGGCAGTGGCCTGAGTGGCCTTTTTGCTATTTAGTCAGGTACCTAGCTCAATTAGAGTAGAAATTTGTAATTGCTTGAAAATGAGCACACAATGTTTTTTCATGTCCAGCTCACTTCCTTAATTGATGGAAAGAATTTACAAGTCTTCCTTTAAAGATGTTCCTGTGCACTGTTGAATTTAAAAGACTTCAGAGATCCATTGTCAGATTTTCTCTCTGAAGACAGTGAATAAGAGTTCCATGAATTATATGACTCTATTATCAATTAGGAATGATTTTTCATATTCTGTGTCTATATTCACAAAATTTGTTGGCTTTCTTTGAATAATTGTGCAAAGTACAGTCCACAGCAGAAGTAATGTGGGGTTTCAGCCATGGGTATGTTGTGCTTCTGAAGCTTAGGAACGATTAACCAGACTTCAATGAAACTTTGAATGTAGATTGTAGCTTATATGCATCGTCACCCTTGCAGCTGCAACTTTAGCTATTGACATCTTCTTTTCGATCACTCCGCATTAAACAATCGCCAGTCAAAGCCAACCGTTGAGATTGGTAAAACCCTACATTACTTTAGCGGTGGGCTTTACCTACTTATGTAGTGCCACAAACAATGTGAATTGGCCTGTGACCTCAATACCTTCCCTTATGGTAATCAGATTTTAGGAGGCCAATTGGCCTGTGGGGCCCAGTCTCAGGGAGCATGTTTCTCATGAGCATAAAAAGTTCAATTCACAACATTTATTGGGTAAATTACATTATAAAACCTAATTTAGCTCAGCTTACAACTTACAAAACACTTACTGATAAGCCAGCTTAAGTGCTTAATGCCCATCTTTAACCTAACACCCGTTTCTGGTATTTGACAGGTAATAGTTGCTTTAGTCAAGGGTAACAGTTTTGCCTTTGACTCTTACTGTGCTTTGTTTTTGCAAAATATAAATATTTTGTTTTTCCTCATCACTCCTATTCATATATGTTTGCCTTCCAGCTTTAACCTTTGAATCTGCAGAAATGCAATAGTGCATGTGCTATTATCCCAAAATACATGAAAGCAGACCTTGTTCCTTGCTGTAAAAATTGAAGAAGAATCTTCGCTCCCTAGTCAACTCAGAATCTTTTTTTTTTTGCCTCCCACATATTCTTTCATTCTTTTTCAAATGTTCATCCATTTTCTTAATATACTCTAAGCAAGGCATGAGCTTTGCAGGCACCCATCTCCCAGATTAACCTAATGTTTGATTTTCAGGGAAACGGAGAGGGATTTACAAGATGAGGATGCTGATTTACTGTCTGAAAGTGATTGTGATTCAGATTGTTATGCTGATGGCTATGGTCACTCCTATTCATATATGTTTGCCTTCCAGCTTTAACCTTTGAATCTGCAGAAATGCAATAGTGCATGTGCTATTATCCCAAAATACATGAAAGCAGACCTTGTTCCTTGCTGTAAAAATTGAAGAAGAATCTTCGCTCCCTAGTCAACTCAGAATCTTTTTTTTTTTGCCTCCCACATATTCTTTCATTCTTTTTCAAATGTTCATCCATTTTCTTAATATACTCTAAGCAAGGCATGAGCTTTGCAGGCACCCATCTCCCAGATTAACCTAATGTTTGATTTTCAGGGAAATGGAGAGGGATTTACAAGATGAGGATGCTGATTTACTGTCTGAAAGTGATTGTGATTCAGATTGTTATGCTGATGGCTATGGTAAGTGTAGTGACCGACGTCGCTATCTCCTTCTCGTGCCGCACTGCCTGCCCAGGCAGAGCCTCGTGTCCCTTCCTTCACCGAAGACTGTATTCACCTTCTCAAGCAGTCCCTTTTATGCCCTCTGTCCACGTCCGCAAAACCCGTCACGCAGTCACCACTATAGAGGACAACACAACTGTGGCGCACAACAAAACTGAATCGTCTCTTCCAAGGCCGCGGATAACGCAGTCACTAAATCACTGCCGTATCCGATACTACAGTAAGCTTCTAATTGGATTGGACTGTGCATGATTCCATTGTTCATTCTGGACTTTTTGCATTGTTTAACTTTCTAACGTAATGCTGTTGGCTGGCAGCACCTAGTTTATTTTTACTTTCGTTTTAAATTCAAGATATAGATATTCTGCAAAAAAAAAAAAATACATGGTCATTTTTTCTCTTGAATAGGTGATTAACGTGTTCAAGTGATAAGCTAGAATTGTATTAAAGAATGAAATGCTCAATTTTTTTGAAGATTGCATAACAACTGTCATTCAACAGCTGGTGGGTGTTGACTACATTTGACAGGCGACTTGTGTTTGTGCTGACATTGATTTAATACAAGCTGTTTGACATTCTTTTCCAGAACACACACTGGCAGCAAGAGACCCGCTGGACCTGACTGAAGGAAGTCTGCAAATGTGCACCTGCATCATCTGCCTGAAGCCTCTTGAAGCAAGGAGTGCTTCTTCAGGGAATGTCTGTGGAAACTGTGCTACTTGCTTTCTCATCCACACACTTTTGTGGGTGAAGGTATGTCATGTCTTTCTCTGCTTTAGTTTATATTGCTCATCAGTCATCACGAATGTATTTGGGCTCATTTTGAAACAATCCAATAGTATGGTAGGTAATTGGTAATGGGTGTGGATATCAAGTTTGCGATCTTTACTGCTTTGTGTGACATTCATTCATTCATTCATTCATTGCCTTTAATAAGTAGTTGGATGGATCTAGCTGGAATAGTGTCTGGAAAGAGTTTCCTAAGCAATTTATGCCAGATTTAGCTTTTAAAAGTAGCAAGCTTTGCTCTGTTGTTTTGCCTGACTTTGGGCAGCCCATCTAGAAAGTTGTTGTTTGAAACAGGTATAATTTGCTGATTGGAATATTCCTTTTTTTCTTCACCAAGACACCTTGAGCTTGATTTCTCCGCTCAGCAATGTTTGGAACACACACTGTTCCAACACATCTGTGACAAAGGTGCTCACAGATTTCAGGGGCCTGTTCCACACCTGACATGATATAAATATTCTGTTGGTTGTGATCATCACAATGGCACGAAATGTGGCAATCGCCTGTCACGGACAGAAATAAAACATACAAACGACACATATAAAACATTAATACAAACCGATTTCGTACGAAAACCAATAAAATAAGACACACGTGGGCATTGCCTAAATATACTCTACGATGACAAGTCACCAATTTGCATTATTGCATCTCCCATTACATCACAACAAGAGAGAAACACTTGACAATTCAATCGCTTGGGGCGCCACGTTGAGCTGCAAAACAAATCACGAAAATCTGGCATGTCGTTCTGCAGCAGAATATTCTGTCATGATGTGCTTCGGAAGCTACGCCCCTACGCCAGCCGGTGATGGTTACTGCGCGTGCGTCATGGAATAATAGTTATTCCACAATATTTCGCGGTGTAACAGGCCTCATGTCTTTTCAGTGACACTTATGATGAAAGATTTTCGTTTTGTATGTGTGTTTATGTCTAGATATTGAACACATATGATGCCTATGAAATGTAATAAATAGAACATTAGCCGCGATAGTAAAAAATATAAACAGTAAAAAGATGTGCATTCATAAATATGTCCAGTTGCATTTTTTCAAATATGTTATTTTATATTTGACCACAAGTCATAAAGCCTTAGGTGTCGTTTCAGAACCATAACAATTCATCCTAATAGCTCATTCACCTTCTAGCTTTTGTTCTTCAATGGGCTAGACTGCTACTTCGCGTCCAACTTATGCCTTTCTTGCAATAGGTGGCCCAGTCTATGTGCTATTTTCCTGGTTACCGCTGCCCATTGTGTAGCTGTATGCGTGTGTGCCAAGCTGCAGTCCCCTGTCTAACTCTGTGCGTTCTCCAGCCTGCGGCTCCGGGCTGTCCGTCGGAGGAATGGACTCCCGGTACGGCGGCGGCTCACCACGCTCTGGACGGACGGCCGGTGGCGTCTCTGGCCGCTCCGGTGTCGTCACAGACCGAAACGGTGCGTTCCACGGCGACTGAGCGGTCGTTCGTGCTGCAGGATCGCACCGTTACTCTGTCATTCTGCTGTTGTGTGGCATCTAGAATGGAAACTGCATAGAGTTATTGATGAATGTTTAACATGTCTAAAAGTCATTTTTATTTATGATTAGATTAATGAGGATGTATGATTGAAGTGCTGAGTAGTGCTGTCAAGGAAGTTAAAGAAGAGGTTGATAATTTTGAATTAAATTATTCTTTAACTGTTCGGTTCATTTATATATGCCACCCTCTGTTGTTTTCGCAGGCGGTGGCGGCGGAGCGGGAGTCCGGTCCGTGGAGCAGCGGTCTGGGCAGTGGCGGCTCCTCCGGTGAGGAGAGCGACTGGGACGGCGGCGGACCGGTGGCCACTGTGCGCCACCGGCGCCGTGTGGGTGCCGACTGTGCCCTGATGCGGCTGAAGCGGCGGCGCGGCGCGCGTCCGCCGGCCGCCGGCGGTCCGGGCCTGCTGCGCGGCCACGCCGACCGGCCGCCACCCGTGCTCCACTCGGCCGGGGTACAGCCGGCCGGTGGCGCCGCGCCGGACCGCTCCCCGCCGCCGCCGGCCGGCGCGGACCAGGAGGTGGGCGCCGCCGGCGGCACCGACACCCGCCTGAGGAGCGTCATCAACGGCGAGGGCGCCGGCGGCGGGGCGGCCGGCGGAGCGGACGGGGCCCCGGCGGACGTCGGCGGCCGACCACTCACCGCTCTGAAAACTGTGATAGACGACGGCCGGCGGGCCGAGCCGGGCCGCACGGAGGACGACCTGGAGGACGTGTCCGCCGACGAGGGTGTGGGGGACGAGCGGACTTCTCCCGAGGGCCGGCCGCAGGAGCGGGACGACTCACCGCCGGTTGGAGGGGTCCAGAGTCCGGTTGTATCGCCGGGCGCCCACCGTCCTGCTTCTCTGGACGATGTATCGGACGAGGACGCGCTGGCCGGTAACGGTGTCGAACACGATGATGTCGATGCGATGGCCGAGGACCGTGAGGTAGGGGAGAACGGAGCTGGTGACTTGGCGGGCGCGGAGACGGAGCCGTGCTCGCCCGGCGGGGCTGATGGCGCTGACGGAGACGGAGAGGGTGAGACGCTTCTGCCCGGAGGGGAGCAGCCATCTATCCAGGAGGATCGGGCGTCGGAGGAGCGACTTTCCACTCCAGAGGACGGGCCGTCCGCCCCGGATGAGCGACCATCCACCCTGGAGGAGCGACCATCCACCCCACCAGTCGAGCGTCCATCCACCCCGGAGGAACGGACGTCCACCCCGGAGGAGCGACCATCCACGCCCGAGGAGCGATCATCCTCCCCAGTCGAGCGACCATCTTCCCCGGAGGAGCGACCATCCACCCCGGAGGAGACGCCCTCGCCGTCCGCGGGGAGGACGCCCGAGTCGCCTAGCGCGGAGGTAGCCGAGGCTGATCCTCTAAAGTCGCCGATCACTGAGAGGACACCAAAGTCTCCAAATGCGGAGGAAGCAGTGGTCAGCCCACCAAAGTCGCCGAGTGTTGAGGCACCTGCAGCTGACCCACTAGAGTCTCCTATGGCGGAGAGGACACCCGAGTCGGAGGTGGTTGACCTACCAGAGTCGCAGAGTGCTGATCCCGCTGATAGTACCACTACTGCGGCAGCGACAGGTGTATCAGATGCTATAGGTAGCGTGGCTGAGGGTGATGCGGACGCTGATGCCGAGCTGTGTGAAGCGGAGTCTGGGCCGGACAGGCCAACCGACTCAACTCATCAGAAAGAAGCATTTAGTCCTAACCAAAGACTTGTTGAGACTGGGGATGATGTAAGTGAGATAACATCCACCCTGCACCAAGATTGTGTAGCAGGCGGTGTTTCTAGCGGTGCTACTGGCGGTTTTATTTCTGACATGGGCTCTGTGGATAATCTTCCCGCGGAAGAGGCCTTGATATTCAACGACCGTGCCACCTCGGGAGAGAAGCTTCATCCCAGGGAGGATCGCGAGTCCGCTCCATCCGATATGAGCGATACGGAATCCTCAATCGTTGCTGAAAGCTCAACACGTCCAGACGGTTCTGACTGTTCCGAGGCAGCTGAGCCGCGTGAACTATTGCCAGGTCACGAAAGGGTGAGCGATAGTGAAGAGCCGTCTGCCGGCGATGGCGATGCGGGCCAGGGAGGTGTAGCGAGTGACTCAAAGGCAGCTATGAGACAAAACATTCTACCAGGCCATGAGTACATCAGCGATAGTGGTGAGGAGTCCCCTGTCGTCGTTGAAAGCTCAGAACACTCGGACACTGTTAGTGGCTCCAAGGCAGCTTCTGAGCACAGTCTTCTCCCAGGCCACGAGCGTGTCAGTGATAGCGGCGATGAAGTAGAGCCTGCTGTAGCCGCTAGCCCTAACGGGGCGGCTGTCAGTGATTCCGCCGCTGTGGTGGGCGGTGCCGCCGGGCTGGCGTCTCCCGTGTACTCTCCGGTCATGTCCCCGGCCAGTATCCACTCGCTGGAGTCTGTCGGCTCGCCGCAGCGTGGGTCCGCTGCGGCGCCCGCCGAGGCGGCCGCCGGACACAGTGCGCTCGGCGTGGCAGACGCCAGTGACGTCTCAAGCGACGAGGAGCTGGTACGTGACGAGGCCGGTCAGCCGGCCGCGTCGGAGTCCTCCGCTGATGGCTCGCAGAGGCCGGCCGGTGACTGGAAGCTGCTGCCCGTCGAGAGCATCTCCTCGCCGGAGAGTTTCGGGCCGGACCAGGAGGAACCAGATGAGCCCGCGCCGGCTCCCGAACCGGAGCAGACGAGTCCGACTCCGACCGAGACGCCGCCGCCGACGGCGGCGGAACCAACCGTCGGGCCGGCCGCGGCGCCCGCGACCACACCGGCGCCGCTGCTCTGTCTCGGCACGGAACAAATTTCTGACAACGAGGAGGACGGCTTTGACGACGGAATGGAGGAGGGTGAGATCCCGTCAGAGAGGCCTCCCACCCCGCCGCCGCCGGCACCGGCACCGGTCCTCCTGCCTCCGGCACTCCCAGCACCGGCGGCAGAGTCGGTACTGCAGCGGCAGCCCGGCGACAGCGAACACTACGACGACGCCGATCTACCTGAGGGCGACTTCGAGGAGGGGGAGATTCCCTCCGACCTGCCACCTGAACCACCGGTGGCGTCTCCGAAGCGCGCAGAAGAGTCGCCACCGCCTGGCTCAGGCACGCCGCCGCCGGACGCTGTCGTTCAGGTGCCACTCTCGCCGGCTGATGAGCCACCGCCGGATGGTGACTACGAGGAGGGAGAGATCGTGGAGGAGCAGCCACCATCGGCCGACGAGCCGGCTGACGACGACGCTGACTCACCGCCGCCGTTGACGGTGCCGCCCCCGCGCGGCGAGCCCTCCGACGGAGAGGAGCCCGTGCGGGGCCCGTCCAGGGGCAACGCGTCGCCGTCGGCGCGCCACGCGGCCACCGCCGGTCCCACGACTATCAACGACGACGACGACGCTCCGGACGTCGACGAAGAAGTGCGCGATTTTGTCGTGAGTGAGAAGACCATCACTGGTCTGGATGATGATGAGGAAGGGGACACTGTAGGATGGAAGAAGTTCCGCAGCACGCGGGGACGGAACTATCGTGATGGAAAGCCGGCCGGCCGAACGGCGGCCAGGTCCAAAGAGACTGGAGAATCGCGAAAGGAGACCAGACGCTCACCACCCGCGGACGGTGGACGGAAGGGCAAGAAGCGAGACATTCAGCGGTACGATGTCCGCAAAGTGATCACGGAGCGGAAAATGCGTGCACAGGAGAATCAGGAGCGGGCTGGCGTCGTGCGGCGCTCGCGTTCGTCCAGCTCAGCGGGCTCGCGCTCGCCGCGCCGGGCCGCTCAGAGGTGGCGGAGGTCACGCACGCTCAGCCGCTCGCCGGGACGTCGTCACCGCGAACACCGACGAAGGTCTCGGGAGAGGCGCTCTCCGCCACGGCGCGGTCACTCGCGCCATTCGCCCGCGCGCCATTCGCCTGCGCGCCACTCGCCGTCGCGTCTCGCCCATCCGCGCCACTCGCATCCGCGCCATTCGCTGTCTCCCACACCGCCACATAAACGAACTCAGTCACCTGTGAAGAAGGGAAAGGATAAGAGCAGAGAACGGAAGAGGAAACTCAGTCCGTCGCCGGGCGCTGCTCCGAAGAAACTAAAGAAGAGGAAAGAGAAAGTGAAAAAGAAAGACGACAAAAAGAAGAGGAAGAAGCGCCTAAAGTCGCCCGTCTCTAAGGCGGTGATTGTGGACGGCGATAACCTGGTGGTGAGTGTGAACTTCTCGAAAGAGTCCCGCGACCGGCTGGGTACCAAGAGCCGCTTGGTGAGGCACGAGGATCGGGAGCCGTCCGTCGAACTCTCCCCGGTGCGGGACAAACCGGCCAGAGTTCGGGACCTCCCGACTCCCTCCAAAGACAAGCGACTGCCGGTCCGCGACCGCGACCGAGACCTGCCGCGTCGCGATCGCGAGGAACGAGTCAAGCCGCCGCGTGCCGGTCGCCAGGAGCGTGATCTCTCGCCGGCCCGGCAGCGGCGAGATGCCAGGAAGGAGAACAAGGATCCAAAGCAGAGTGCGCGCTCGGAGCGTAACAAGGACGGCAGTGAGCGCCGCTCGCTGTCGCCTCGTCCGGCTCGCGGCAGCAAGAGAGCGCGCAGTGTAACACCGCCACGGAAGCGTCGCAGTCCGAGCCCGCGGTCTAGAGCGGCGGCCAGCCCGCGGGCCGCACCGCGGGTCCGCGCGCCAAGTCCCCGCAGTCCCCGGGCTCGACTGCCGAGTCCGCGAGGTCGAGCGGCCAGTGCCCGAACACGCACTCCCAGTCCCCGCTCTCGGGACCAGCTCAGTCCGCGACCACGGGCGCCCAGTCCTCGCGGCAAGGCAGCCAGTCCGCGGGCCCGCAGCAGAAGTCGGTCGACGTCAGAGCGGCCGCGCAAACACCCGCGCCGCTCGCGCTCGGGCAGTCGCTCCAGCTCGTGGTCTCGCTCGTCCGACTCGAGTGAGTCTCCGGCGCCGAGTCACCGCCGCTCTGACAGCCTCTCGCGCCGCCGGCAGCGCCGCAGTCCGGACCTGATCGATTTGGACGAGGTGGTGGAGGTGTCGCCGCGGCGAGACGAGCCTATCGTCATCACCGACTCAGACGGCGAGACTGAGTCGACGGCGCCGCGGCCGACGCAGACCCGCGCGGCTGCTCCTGCCGCGCGCCCGGCGCCCGCTGCGACCGCAGAGTCGGCGGCGTCGGCCCCGCGCGCGACAGCCCGCAGTCCGCGCGGCCCGAAAACTCCGCCGGAGCCGGCCGCCGCCGAGCCGTCGGTGCGGTTCTCGCTGAGCGCCAAGCTGGCGGCGGTGAGGATGATCAACAACCCGCTGCAAGAGGAAGACGACGAGGGAGACTCGCCACCGGCGTCGACGGCAGCGGCGACGACGGCGGCCGCCGCGGCGCCGGCGGCGGCGACCACCCAGCCGTCGGCGGCGGCGCCGCGCGGCCCGACCACGCCGCCCGAGCCGCCGCCGCCGGACGCTTCCGAGGCCAAGTTCGGCGACCAGTACGACCCGTTCGAGCCGACCCACTCGCCGTCGGGGACGCCCGACTCTCCGCCGTCGCCCGACGCCATGGATAGCCCCGAGCTGGCGGCGTCGCCCGCGGCGCCGGAGCCGCCCCCGCCGGCCGCCGCCGAGCCGTCCCCGCCTCCACCGCCGCTGCCGCCCGCGGAGCAGCGCGACCGGGCTGCGGAAAAACCACCGGAGCCGCGCCACCCGGCAGAGGCGGAAAAAACGACCACCGCCGCCAGCAGCGGTCAGTAGTTGAATCAGCGAATACACTCGTTTCGTTTAAAATAACCGTTTTCTGAACATAATTTTCTGTTTTTACCACAGACGCAATATTTGAGCCGAGCGAGCTGATGCAGTTGCCATTCTGTATTGCTAAACGTAAGGGGCTGTGGGCAATGTCGCATTTGCTGTGAGGAATTTGCTTTATTCATGACATGTTGCCCACGACTATGCTCTGCTGTTCTAACCTGCTAGCTGTTGTGCCCACAGCCGGTGACCAGCCTATTTGCCGGCCTGCCGCCGCCGTCGGCGGCCAGCCTGCTCAGCAGTGTTCTGAGCAGCGTGCTACCCGACACCTCACGGCCACCGCCCAGTCTGCCCTCCGCCTCGGCTGCCCCGGCCGCCACCTCGAGCTCAGCGGGGGCGCAGGCCGCGCCGGCGGCCACCACTGCGCCTCCGCCGGCGGCACAGAACGGCCAGCGAGGCTCGGCAGATGTGATCGACATGGACGTCTCGCCGTTCTCCCCCGACTCCCCCAACTCGCCCGACTCGCGCGAGGGTGATGACCTGTTCGAGCCGCCGCGGCCGGCGCGCGCGCCGCAGCCGGGCGCCGCCGGCCGCGCCGGACGTCGTATGGATCCCAAGGATCGGTTTGAGGCGATGTTTGGCGGCGCACAGGGCCGGGGCAAGGCGACGCCAGCGAAGGCCACCCCGACCAGGGCGGCGCCCGGCAAAGCGGTGCCGGGCAAGGCGGCGGCGGGCAAAGCGGCTGGGAAGCAGCGACCGGCGGCCCGCGGCGCCCGGGCGGGCAGACGCAGTGAGTTGACGGAAAGGGGATGCTGCTACGTGGTCTCTGGCGATTGCGTAGTTGCGTAGTGTTAGACTGTGAATCTTTGGTTGCCTCGTCAGGCTTGCAGTTATATTTAGGGTGAAACAGTTAATATTGCTGGGTTAATGATAAGAAAGAAAAGACGGGTATGGCATTGAATCGTACAGTGTCAATCACTAATGTGTATGTGCGTGCGTTTTTTAGATGCTTTTCTCTGAAAGTTCGGCTATCAGTTCAGATTTGTCAGATGATCGTTGATCTTTGTGTGAACGAGCCGGCCAGGTGTGGAATCGCTCGACATGTTGTTGACCCCCTTCTGCCACCTGCAGCGGGCGGTAAGGCTGGCGCCGGCTCGGCCACCGCCGACGCCGATGACGCACTCAGGATTGTCGACGACGTGCCCAACTCGGCTGTGGAGATGCAGGTAAAGGAAAAGGTACGCTTTACGCTTGGTAGTGCTTAGTGTCACTACCAGCCCCGCAGTCCCGGTCCTGAGTCACTCTGGACCGCACTCCCTGCTCAGCGGGACGGGCGACGCCATCCCGATATCCCGGTCTGGACGGCTGTTCCCGGAATCCTGGTCTGGACGGCCGCTCATGTACCCAACAGCGGCGGAGACGAGCCCTGCAGGGGCTATCACGGCAGGCTTCGGCGTGGTGGTAGTTGCATTGGCGTGTTGTACTGTTCTATGTAGGTTGGTGATCATGCTTAGGGAAGATTGTGCTGAGTTAGTAGCCAGTTAAGCGAGGGAGACATTTCATTGACACTTTCTGTTAGTTTACCATCTCGTTTATTTCCCGTTGGATCAATTTTACCTAATGTTGATTAAAAGATTCCACTAACTGAAGTAAATACGGCGCTCATATTAGTGTTCATATGTTTTTGTGATGGTCTTACCCCCGTATTTATGTCTGCCGATCGAACCCTGCAGCTCCAAGTATTTTGTTTGATGTCAGCCACCTCACGCACGTTTGTGTAATTGTACATCGATGGGTTTACGAGTCACTGCATGCTAGCTCACTGTTGCTATTTATTTTGTTCGTTAGTGTTACCACGTACGATTTTTTATCGACTGAGTGAATAATTCTTTTGAAATCACTGTTGCGCATAAGCTTATTCTAGATAACGTTTATAAACTTCATAGTCATAACGTAGGTACGTTATTCCTAGATGACTTGGTTAATTTTCAACAACCAATCATTGACAGCGAGCCTTCAGTTATTACGCTGCCATGCTGACGAGACGAAAAGTCACGAGTCTTCTGCAGCTGCGATTTTCACAGCGCTTTATGTATTTCCCTCATTTTGCTACCATCAGTGTATTTAAATGTGGTTCTTTCGACAAAACTATTTTTTATCCGGAATGGGAAGTTCTTACAGAGGCGCGTGCTACACTTGGGGCTGATCTATTTGTATCATATATCGGTGCACCTGCTTTGGGCCTTGTACGGTGGTGGGGATCCCTCACTTGTTTAACCCGTGGGTGTCGAACAAGTTTGTCAACTCACCTGTCAGACAATGCTGACTTACGTCGGACACATCTTTGTCCACAGTTCCTGAAGAAGCTGAACCGCCAGGAGCGTGTGATAGAGGAGGTGAAGCTGGTGCTGAAGCCCTTCTATCACAAGCGCACCATCACCAAGGAGCAGTACAAGGAGACCCTGAGGAAGTCGGTCCCCAAGGCAAGTCGACGTTTAACTCGCCTACTGTGCCGCGCTTTTATGTCTCGAGTAACCGCTGTGTCCGTACGTTAAAGTGACCATCCCACCTTAACATTAGTTTTGAGTTGAGATAGCCAAATTGGTGGCCATGGCCTGCAAATACCGGTTTGGGCACTCATAACATCGAAAAATGCTTTAATTCGGAGATATGGAATTTCAAACTTGCGGATTCTAAGGGGCTAATGCATTGGGATGCCCCCGTAGAATTTGACGTGACGTCAGCGGTGATCTGACGATTTCAAAACCTTATACTAACATCTTTGTGAAGCAGTGGTGGTATATGCTATTTGCGCGCAACATCTGCCGCAAACGCCGCACTTCCAAAATGAAGTCGCTAGGAACAGCGGAGATCCCAAAAAAGTAAACAAAAGTAAAAGTAATATCTTGAAAACCGGTGAATATTTTTAGGTGAAATTTGGTATATATTCGTTTTTGCTCTTTCTGAACCGAGCGACACCACTTTCATGCCAATTCATTAACTTTTTTGAAGGTGGGAGAGTCCCTTTAACTTGTAAGTCAGACTAGTTCCAGCATTGATACAATAGCCCGCTCATCCTAGCATGTATCTGATCGTGTCGTAGCCTTTTTACGGCTTGTTGCAGCGCTTTTTGATAATTTGAACGCTCTCTTGCTGCTTATTGTGATTTCTGGGCATGCTTCATTCATCCACTTCCTTATTCTTGGAAACTTTTGAAGAAAACTATCACCATCGTATTGTGCGCTTTTAATGGATCTTCCCCAAAAGTCGTTATTGTAATCCTATATTGTTTCGCTATTTTTCAGATAAAAAATAATCTCTGCAGACAGTATCGGGCGCATTTTGCATACATCATCCCCGCACGACTTCGATCTAACAATTCTTCTTTTTTCTCCAGATTTGTCACAGTAAGTCAGGCGAAATCAACCCGAAGAAAATTCATTCACTCATCATAAGTTACGTGAAAAAGTGCAAATACCTTAATAAAAAGAACCATGTCACGGTGCCGAATCCGAGTACTTCGACGCCCGTCAAGGGCAAAGTGTGACACCTGTGTTCCGCCGATCCGTCGTGAAATAACTGCTTTTTGATTAGTGTTATTTATATTGCGCTTTGTTACTAGATTTATCGAAGCGTTCTTGGTGTACCACAGTGCTATGTAAGCGAGCTGGTGAATGAACTGTGTCTAGCTGTGGACGTTGGTGCGGCGCTGCGCGGCCGCTTCGGTGGTATGTGGCATGGTGGACCGCGCTGGTACCTCGCCCTCCTTCATCGCAGAGATATGTGAACTCTGTGAACATCGTGATGTGACCGACAAGTCCAAAACATGGCTCCAACAGTTGGAAATGGCCAGAAATACATATGTACAAAAATCGTGTTTGGAAGTTGGATTGGGAAACCGCTGAATGATTCACATTGAGGAGAGCTTGGTTGAGGTATGCCGGTCAGGATTCGATTCCGTTGCAACACATTGATACTGTGCGGGTGGGGAGTGAACTGTTAGGCGTCTTATAAGCGTCGAGATAACTGCGAGAACAATTTGCTTTGACAGCACTATCCTGTTGGGAGACGATCACAATGTTACTGTTGACCGTCGAAAAGTAAATGCCGTTGAGAAAACTTTTCGTGTATTGGTAGACGAACTTTCGTCTTTCGGCATTGATTACAGAGGGCCTTTCGGTTTCATTATTTTATTATTAGTCGATGCGGTGGACAAAATCGTCGCTGGGCGTTGCTCATTTAGGGAAGGCACTCGTATTCAAGCCACCTGCCATGTAATCTGCCATGATTACTGTCATGGGCAGTAATCGCCACGCCATGTGTGGATCGCCCATGATCGTAAATACAATACAATACAATACAAATACATGGCATTTACATTTTGGCTTGATGGTGCATGGCACCTTCGTGCCGGTTCGTGATTGCAGAGCCGCTCAAGCAAGGAAGATACGATTCTTTGTTTCTACACGGGTTTTATGCTCAATTCATGATTTTGTGGCCGCGAGCTAGTAATCTCGGAGAATGCACAGAGCTGCGCAGTTGATACAAAACTGGTGAACGCCCTTTGCCTCACTGTGTTTTTTAGGAAATGTCTATGAAACGATATCCTCAAGTTGCTAGGCGACGGTGGGGAAACCTGCAACTCGTTTACTAGTTGCTAGGCAACGCTCTATTTCTTACCTTTGGAGACATTTCAAAGAGCACGGCTTTGAAGATTCGCTTCAAAGGCCCCTGGGCGTAGTCTCTTCGTTTTGGTTTGAAGGAGCCGGCAATTTCCGAATTATTTTGAGAAGTTCATTTTATTTTATCTCCATCGCATATTTATATCCTGAAGGAACAGGTAGGAAACAGTATGTGTATATGTCGTTATGATTAAGGGCATGTGTTCAATAGCAAAAAGTACTTCGCTTTAGCTGCTTTTTAAATAAAAAACAAACTCAACTGAACTGTTAAAGCATCTGTTGTTTTCGGAACAGTTTGATAAAACTTAAGTAGATCATCTTTACTTTTTCAGCCAGGGCGGTGTTTCACGGGACGCTGCTACCACGCTGCTATCAAATTGCGCGAGCTGACGTCACACTTGTGGTAGTGTTGGAGCAATGGGCCTGTTGATGTTTCCATGGAAACCCAATTTGACACGTGTAAAAGCAGCGTGCTGCTGTCACCGGTGAAACAGGGCCCAGGATATTAAAGTCATTGACAGCATGCTTTCTGAGAAAGAAATGTCAAGCAAAAAGGATGTGTGAATGTTTTGTTTAAAAATATCAAATTATTAAAGCCTAAAGCCTTAAGGTAAAAAATCGCTTTGATCTTGAGATAGGTCTTGATCATTATTATTCAAAGTTTTCCTCATGATCAGGTACAATACTAAATCAGTGTTCAAAGTCAATAGGTATAGCACAACTCAGTCAGTCCTGTAGCTGTCAGTAGGCTGCGTGGCCGTGGGCCAGTGGTGAGAGAAAGTGTTCCCAGTTACGACAGTCCGGGACCCGAGTTCAAAGCATGATGGGTGCTTGATGTTTATAACCCTCCTGACAGGTATGGTTGTGGTTGGTGGCAGGCTGAGTGTACTCTGTAGCCAGTCGAAGTCAGTGAGGGCCGAGGGGGACCAGCCGTGCATAGCTGCTCATTCCATCTTATGTTTGATAAATGTGTTTTGTTGTTGTTTGTTTGTTGGCCTTGTGCATGCATTAAATTTCTGACTCTAAATTATGTCATAGACAAGGAATTGTGTAGGTAGAGTGAAGTCCCCATAGTAGATTCAAAATTTACACAGCAAAAACCTTGGCTGATTGATCTAGCGCAAGCTATCAGCATCATGTTGCTTGTTTTTTGTGCATTTTTTGCATTAGCAGATGCATAGGTGTACCTATGATGAAGTTTGAATTTATGAAAGCTTGGCATTTGCTTTCTCATGCTCCTGTAGTTGCATAATAAATGGTACCTACATTCTTCTAACTATTCAATATACTTAACAGTTAACATCATCTAAATCTTTTTACTGCTGGCCCTTCCACTTGTTGGAAAATTTCACATAATAAAACAACACCAGTTAACTAGCCTGCACTACCAAAGACTGTTTTACAGTTTCCACCATACGTTATATTATAGGTAGTTAAATATGCCACCAGGCACCAGTTTGCTGGCTCCCACTTTGTGGTTTTCTGTGTAATTCACAAAATAGGCATGGGGCATCAGTTTCAAGCTGCACATGCCTAACAGGATGCCAAAAACATTATTTTTATAAAAGGGTAGCTGTCAGCATTGTACTGTTTCCACAACTCTTAGATGTGCACTTTTTAGCAACATCTTTGGCATAGGCATAGCTTGGAAGATTGTATTAATAGAAGATTATGGATTATGGGTTAGGGAAGATTGTAACCAACGTATCATCAGTTGTAAACTGGCTGGATCCACTTGCCAGGTCTGCCCATTTTGCTGAACCTTGGGTGGAAATAGAGTACCTCGCCAGTGTAGCTGTGCATTATTGTAGTCCCTTACGAGAGCACACAGATACTAGCAGTAGTGGGCACTCGTAGCTTGACCCCGACTTTGATAACGATAATTCGATAACATTTTTCGAGGTCGGCGACTTCGATAACAACAACTCGATAACCAACTCGGTCACTTCCTTAACGCGATAACGATGACGATAATTTCAAAAAAGAACGAAGTCGAAAGGAGAAAATATTTGAAAGGAATAAGCTTCTAAGTAGTATTTACTTCCTTAAATATTCCTTAAATAGGGAAAACATTCGTCGAAAAACTTAAATATCTTTATTCTTTGGCGACAGAGCTTGTTGGGCCGAAAGACGTTCCGAATAGCATTTTTTTCAGTGCTCAATCTACAAAACTGCTATCTCAGTTCAAAACCCCATGCTGGAGGTGAAGTATTCCTTAATATGCTCCCGTCGTATTTGATGAAGTTGTCGTTATCGATTGACCGAAACGGGGACTTCGATAACGACTTCGATAATCGTTATCCATAGGAGTTATCGATGTGCCCACCACTGGATACTACATAGTGATGAGTGTGACTGAATATGGGTGATTTTCATTGTTCTGCAAATCTGTTTTGAATAATTCAGTTTTGACACTTCTTTCTATATATGTAATGCAAGCTAATGCTTTTTCCTGAATTTTCAGATAGCAGCTAATCATGAGTGGGCTGGTTTGGAGCATCAAAAATGGAGACATTGAACAAGTGAAGGAGGCTGTTGAAACCAAGGTAATGCTATGATGTGCGATTATGTTTCTAATGACGGCTATGTTTCAGAACAAGTTAGGCTGGTTTCATTTCATGATAATCTTTTAGCACCATCTGCATACTTTGTGTAGTCTCTCTGCTCATTATTGCGCCATAAATTGATGTCCGTCTTAATCCCTTGATCTGCTGTTGCCAGAAAGTGGACCTGAATGCGCCAATAGATGGTCGCAGCCCGATCCACTATGCCGCCGACTATGGTCAGCTCGAGGTGCTGAAATATCTCCTCAGCAAAGGTGCAGACCTCAATGTAAGTATCGGTGTTGCGACAGGAAGGGACAACTGTTGGCGACTGGCGTGCTCCTGGTGTTGGCACGTTGTCACCCACCAGTGATATTATGACTCTTTCTACTGAGTTGACGTTATTTTCATTTCGATTCTCTTTGTTATGTGGCCTCACGATCAGTTCCAGTACTCTAATTTTTCTTCGATTCGTTTCCAGGTGCTGGACAAGCACGGCATATCGGCGATACTAGCAGCTATCTGGGAGGGCCACACCGACTGTGTGAAACTGATGCTGGAAAAGGTACGCACCCGAACTGCTGTTACATGCGAGATATCTCATTGCCCGGTCCTTGTTCAACGGTGGTGATGATTATGATGCCTTCAGCTTTCACTTGATACGATATTAAATTCCATGCCATTTTTTTTAGCCCATCCCTGTTGTGCTCTAGAACATGAAGCGTGAAACATTCTGCCTTGATTGGAACTCTCGTTTAAAAAGGCTCGCTTTCTCGCTCTCGGTGAAAAGCCTTGTCATTCTTTCCATTTCTAAGTATTGAACACGCAGTCTCATAGGATGGCCAGGACATTGTTGCTCCCCTGCCGTTGAAGAAGTCCACTTTTTTCTTTCTGATGCGGTCGATGAAAAATGGCTCGTCACACGTCCGGTCTACAAGTCCTCGCTGGCATTGTGTTTGTTTATTTGACACTCAAGCTGCCCACTGCTGCCGTTATCCGTATCAACCCCATCCGGTCTCCTTTCAGGGTGCGTCCAAGTCGGGTAAGACGCCGGACGGCACGAGCTATATCGACGCTGCCGAGAAGGCAGACATCAAGGCGCTGCTGCGGTAGGTGGGCGCCTCCACCGCCTGTTTGTGCTCTGTGATTGGTGCCCTGGTGCCCCGTGTGATCGCTGACGATCCTAAGAGAACTGGATGGCTTGCAGAGGGATGTGAAGAGAGCCAGATGAAACATAGAGCTATTCTTTGTAATAACACTTTTTGGTACTCGTGCTATTCACTACTTGATTGTTTATTTTAAGGCCGTGTGAGCGTCAATCGTCCTCTTCCATGATTGTGTTTGTGTTTTCTCGTCCGGGGGGACTCTGTGGGAGGGGGTGGAGGTGGCCTGGCCGGACGTCCTGGGCGGCTGGGACCGGGCCTGGCCTCCATCCGGCCTCCCATCAGATAGGGAGTGTTTGCACGCGTCCTGTGCGTCGGACGGAGGGCAGTGCGCCGCGTGTCACGCGCCGCGGAATGCCACTCCGTCGCCCCGGGCGTGTGTGGGTGGGGAGTGGGGGAAGCTGAGATAGGTACGTTACGGTCGGATCCGGTGCAGTCGACCGCGGCGCTGACGGCTATGTCGTCACGCACGGCTATTGCCGGCAAGGAGGTGCGGAAATACATTGACTAGGTACTCGTGGATCATTGTTTCGGATATTACAGTGCTTGGATTTGATGATTTTCTGTCATTTTATATTGCTTTCTAGATTGGTACTATTTTCGACCGAATGTGGCTGTGGGTGGAATGGGACCAGAAATCCGAATACTTGACAGCGTTCCTTCCGTGGATTGCACTTCGGAGATCCTGCTTTCGACTAGATATGGCTGAAATATCAAATAGCGTATGAAATATCGCGGTCACTTTCCGGCTGTGGGGCTCCGTACCGTCCAACTGAGCGATTTACAGGAAGAAGACGGCCCACCGCTATCTCAGATTTGCTGATATCTGACCCGGCTTGCATGGTGACTCGGCAGTAAATAGCGAGCAACGAAGCACCTCGAGTGGGGCCGTCAAATGTCAGTTCTGGTGGGGATGTCAAATGCCAGTTCTGGGTGTAGTCCAGAGTCATAGGCAAGCGTCTGGGAAGTTTATTGTTTGTCAGTAGAAGGTGTCGATATAGCTACAATCCCCTCAGCTTATGATAACCTCAACACTGTACACTTTGCACTTCTACAATATGCAGTATAAGATCTGGGCTAATTCGCAGACAACACAGCTCAACCCTTGTTCACGTTTATATTTCTAGCGCGGGTCTTGGGCTTCTAGACCTTGGTCTGGGGCCCAAGGTTTAGAGGAAACAAAAACGTTGAAGTAACTAATGAGCTGAGATGAGCTTTGAGCATGACCCATTGAGCTTATTACATGTGTAATAACGGCAGCGCCGTCTCGTCTTTATCATGACTACATAATGCCTACATGCCTAATTGGTTTCTCTTTGCACTGCCCCAAAACACCGATCGCTTTTGTTTGGCTAACACGAACATATTCAATGATTGCAATGTCTCTCAGCAATTGAACGTCGACTAACTACTACATTCGGTCACACAATGGACAGTCATTCACACTGCCGTCACTGCAAAGTGGCGATGAACACACTCTCCTTTCACCGCGCATTGGTTCAATATTACCCCCATAACCACTCAATGTCTTCACCGTATTTCCCTGATACCGATACACTTCCATAGTCATAGCATCAGCATCACTAGAACCCCCACCACAGCTCCTCATGTGACAAGAAGTAACCTACCCCTCTCCTACCACCTTCATAACACCGCCATGGGCTTGTAGATGCCGGTATAACCGATGAGTCGCGCCCTCAGCGCCGGCAGCGTCTTCACAGTGGAGACGACGTCATCCAGTAGCCGGCTGTACTCGCAGCTGAGAATGTAGAATATGTCCCCCGTGTCAGAGTCGCAGGACTTGTGGAGAACGATCCGACGTAGGCCCGCCCGCTTCGGGATGGTCCGGTACAGAAGTCGTGCTCCTATAGGAAACGCGAGGTGTCAGAGAAAGGGCGTGTTACTGGGGAAATGTATGCTTGAGCCATGGACGCTTTTTTTTTTTTGTTTGCTGGCAACATGTTTGTTCTGAGATCGGACGAACACCACGTAATAGAGAGGTAGCTCAGGTTGGGATTTTCAATAGAAAATCACAACTCTAAAGAATAGTGATTGTTCTTAATTGAAAAGTCCCAACCTTCGGATATTCATAAGTATGCCAAAGTGATTTTATTATCATTTTATAAGCATGTGCTTTCTGGATCCTTGATGGGTGATCGCTTAGGCTAAATTTATTTTCTTGTGTTTGGATAACGCAGCCCAATAAATATCCACGACTCGAAACTTGTCAGTAATAAATTTAGTGATATGGATAGTGTGTTACTCTAGGCCCCTAGCCACTGGGAGAAGGCTCTAAATCTGTCTACCTGTCAGATAGGGTTAGATTGGTACCTATATGTGTCAGCATTTGATATACCTACCAGACGGGTCGATAATTATTACAGACGCCTCTGCGTATGTGGCCCTCCTGAGCTTACCGTCGCCATGGCTTGAAAGCCCATCATACTACCAAAAGTGGGTGCGGAAAAAATACACTACACAGGATTTCCAAGAAGGGGATCGTTCGAGCAGAACATTATGGTCGCCCATCCTAGTCGTTCCGTGATTGTGGAATGGTCTCTGGACGAATCGCCCTTGGCTAAATCAAGCCCGTCTTTATTTGTACATTTTATTCTTATATTTCAACTCCTAGTTTGTTGGTGTCGCGATCGGACAGCTTGGTTATACGACTACCTAAAATAAATATCTTCATGTTCACGCCTCAGGGAACGGCGTCTCTATAAATTAGCTGACGTATTTTTCAGTTGTCACCGAAGCTGAACTCACCGGTCCAGCTGGGCCAGTCGCGCTCGAAGCTGTGTCGGTCGTCCCCCTCCATGACCCGGAACACAGAGATGATGTAGCCGGTGCGGTCACTGCTGGGACGCCGCTGGTCGGCTGGGGAGAGAGAGAGAGAGAGAGAGAGAGGGGGGGAGAGAGAGGGAGACGTCAGACAGCGTGACCTCTTATAGTGACCTTTTGGATAGGTCAGGGTTCGGAAGACATACAGCATGAACTGTGATTATATGGCTTCTAAACTCATATCGTGTGAATTACGTAAATAATGCGAGAAATAACACGCCAATCATTTTTGTCGTTCACGTAATGTTTTAGAATCAACCGCAATATATGCCTTTCAGGCCTCCGCAGTATTTCTCTCGGAGCGAAAACGTCCAACTTGGCAGCGTTTGAACATGTGACAGGCGAGATGCGATTTCACGGACTGCCTTGTTTCTTTGCCAGCAGTATTTTCTGCTCTTTGTGGAAGACAAGATGAGAGGACCGGCACCATCGGACAATGGACGGACCTCAAAGTCGCACAGCCGATGCATGTGCATGTGTCTTATTGGCGTAGCCAAATGTCCGCTTTGATCTATATTTTTGGACTGATTCTTATTTTAGTCGGTTGACTTGCCAATCATTTTTATCTTGAGCTTGACAGTGAAACTACTAAAGACAAAAGGATTCCTGGTTAGAAGTCACATCAATTGAGTAATAAAGTAATCTTGACATCAATTGTCGCTTTCCTTAGTCATCCCTCCAACACATTCTCCCGTGCATCCATGACTCACTGAGCGGCGGCCGGGCGATGGTAGCCACCTCCTGGTACAGTCGAACCGTGTGCTGACCCACCAGGGTGGTCTGCAGGGGTGAGAACGTGGTCCGCACGCCGTGTCGCACCTCGGAGAGCACATCCTGCGCGGTGCGGCCCGACTTGGCCACCGTGTAGTAGAGCAGAAACGGAAACGGCTCTGTGGGATCGAACAAGAGAAGCTGATATTCGTGAGCGTTAGAAGTTGCTAGTCAATAGACTATCAGAAGCCTTTCCGTTTGACGGCCCGTTTGATCAGCATTATGCAAGATTGGCGTTGAAACAGCGTCGCAACTGATAACTGTCGTTCACACAGTTCATGTTCAACAGTACCCAATTTCTCATAGCCCTTTGGTTTCTCCTTTCTCTCCTCACTCCCTCCTGCCGTCCTACCCTCACACCATAAGAACTCACCAGTCACCGCATCACTACCCTAACCCTTTCCCACCCACCGCCCATCTCTCACCGGTCCGCTCCAGATTACTAAGCAGTATCGCATCGCGCGTCTTCCCCGCGGCAGCCACCCTCTTCAGCAGTGACAGGCAGGCGGTCAGCTGGACCTGGAGCGGGCTGACGGGCTCCAGCACACTGGGCGGCGTCACCGGCTCCAGCGGCGTCAGCACGTGCAGGACCACCGACAGGTCCGGGTCGCTGGTCTCGTGCATCCGCAGACGCTGGCCGCGCGCCGGGGGAGAGGTCGGCAGCTGGGGGTGGGAGAGGGGTGGAGGTTAGCTGTGGTTAGGGTTTGTTGAATGGTTGCACTTGCTTGGAGAGGCGACGGGGTAGAGGTCGGCAGTTGGACTGGATCGTGATGGAGGTCAGTTGCGGTTTCGGTCAGAGTTTGGGAGTTGTCAGACGCAGTTGCAGTTGCTGTGTGTTGGAGGACGTCAGATGCTGACGGGGCTTTGGGGATAGGTCGGCAGCTGAGGGTCTGGAGTGGGGTTTAGATCAGTTGCGATCAAAGTCGATTGGAGAATGCCAGGCCAGAGTTGGCCAAGTGCCGGAGGAGATCTTGGCGACTCCAGGGATGGGCGAAATCGTCAGTCATTGAAATTTACAACTGGTCTGCTTGCTTCCAAAGTTGATGCGCATTTAGCAATAGCTAGTTATTATGCAATATGCATTTAATATCGCATGGTCGTCAACAGGACCAGTGGCGGATATCCCAGGTCATCTACCCGACCGTAAACCTGACCGGCGTGACCCTCCGGGGTCACTGTCAGTTCCGACTGCACCCCTAACCTAACGCGGCTCGGGCGCGCTCGACCGCGCCAGCCGCCCCGCGTCCCATTCTCGCCAGCGCATCAGCCCGCAGCTCGACCGCTGACAGGCGACCAAGAAGATCTGAGCTGGCGTCTTGTCGCAGCCCGCTCCATTTCACTTAAAGTTTATTTAACCTTCATCTGCTTTGATTTATTATCCGAAGCCTTCACTTCGCTCATGGCTCTCGCTCTAAAATAGCTCGCACTCCACCCACGCGTTAGATGATTAAGCCCAATTTAAATCACTCAGCGTGGTGATTTCGCGGCCCATTCTCTACTGATTGTCACCGTCGTCGTTTGTACACGGTTGCTGGCGGTCGGCTGCGGTGCTCGACTCAGGTCAATATGTTCTTTGGACGCCGGGCGCGACAAGCGTTACTGCTTGGCACCTGGCTGCTTGCGGTCCGCCCGGCCAACCATCGCCAGTTGTGTTTATGGGTGTCAGATATGAGCTGGCCGCTGATTGCTGGAGGACAGAAGATGGCTTCATCAGGGAACGGTGGGGATAGCCGGGGACGGATAAGCAATGCACTGTGACGGATGTGGTGAACCGTAACGGGATGGGTGACGGGCTGTGACGGGACTGGTAATCTGATGTGACGGAGTTCGTAACGGACTGACACTGTGACGGAACTCGCGATGGGCTATTACGGTATTGTGACAGGAGCTGCAGTCAGTTTCAGATACGGGATTGTAGACTATCCAGTCGTCGGCTTAGCGTTCAAATGACGCTGTTTACACTTAACATGAGTCAGCGAAACGTTCTTCTACGACTTTGCAGAGTGAACCTCAGGAAAGGATCCTTTGGCAGAACTACCAGAAAAGAAGAATGTAGATCCGTCATTGGTGCACAGCCTGAGATCAGTGTTCAGATAACTTATTTATTGTTTCGATCACAATTTTAGCGGAAGTTTTATGTCGAGGGGCGCTTATGGCGTTTAATCTTATATTGAATATGACTGAAAATGCATAATGCATATGCAGTCAAGGCCATAGCAATACAGACGCGATAGAAGCCTGCAGAGTGCAGATGCTCCATCAAGGGAGGAAGCTGGTTATATGGAACTGAAAATTGATTTTCCTTATATTGTAGATAAATATTTTCCGGTGCTTTATCATTCGTACCTTGTATATGTTACAGACCGTATGCAAACCCAGTCCGTTTGCAAACGGCCTGGCCCAGTCAGGCCGTTTGAAAACGGCCTGAAAAAGCCGGCCGTTTGCAAACCGCCTGAAATATCAGGCCGTATGAAAACGGCCTAGGCAGTTTGAAACGGCCTAGACAGTTTGAAAACGGCCTAGTCAGTTTTCAAACGGTCTGGCGAAGTACAACAGCCTCTGAAGATTGAAGTTAATGGATCCAGGTTGGTCGATGATCAGGTTGCATCCATGTGAATGCTTGCGCATTCCATGCCGAATGACTCGTCTACATACGTCGAACATTTTCTTACTGTGCTGATGCTCGGCCCGGCCGTTTTTCGACAATATTACTAATTATACAAGTTCACGGTCCGCCTGTGTACGGCCATCCAGTTGATGGAGCCTGGTGAAGCCACTACTGGCGAGGTCTGGTGAAACGTATCACTACAAGACTCACCGATTATTTTGCGGCATAAAACGCCGGAGCGCGCAATGGATTTCACAATTCAGTGGCGCGGGAACCGGGGGGGGGGGCTAACGGGGGCTGAGCCCCTCCAACTTTTCGGCTGGGGGGGGCTCATAATGTATTTGAGCCCCCCCCCCCCCAGCTGGAGGAATCGAAATCGGAAATCTGCCAACATAATTTCATAGATTCATACATAGGCGCGGGAACCGGGGGAGGGGGCAGTGGGGGATGTTTGCTCCCACAGCTCTGGGGCCGTGGGGGCGGTGGCCCACAACTTTTCATGTCGGTCAGGAACCGTTGGGGCAGCTTGTCCTCCCCAAATTACGGGTTGTGGGTCACAAAGGAAGAAAGCATGTAAGTGAAAAATCCACCTCTTTCACTGGCTCGTCAACTCATTTGGCAGATTAAAACCTTTATTCCAGGTTGCCAAAACGGTAGTTTTTTCACTCAGCTGAGACGGAATACCTGACTTTTTGCGTTTTTTTTTTTTGTTGAAAAGGCCAAGGTCTGAAAAATAAGTGGCCTAAAACCGGTGAGAAAACTAGATTTTGGGGTACCCTACTGTTAACGCCAGACCCCTTGAGACCCTAATTTTTCGCGATTACTTTTAAATGCGTGAAGGAATTTCAACCAAGCTCAGGACATGGCCGTTTCAAGACAGGCCGAAACTTTTACAATTTAGATATTTTATCGCCATTTCAATATTTCAGGCACTTGTCATTGACTCGTAATGTTAAATTTCGAGCAAGATTTTCATCCGGTGTGTAGAGGCTATCACCAGTCAGTCTGTGATACGTTATGACGTCACAGCTAAGCCCCGCCTCTGTGGTCTTGGCCTGCGGCGGTTTCGGGCCGGCGCGCGGTCACTCTCGCTGTGGCGGGGAGCGGGGACGGGCGACGGTCGAGCGGTGCCGAAAGCCGGCGGAGTTGTGCGTAGCGTCTTGGCTGACAGTGCCCAGAGAGCGACATGATGACTAAGGAGTCATAAATGCTCAATGCGCATTGCTTCTACAATGCTGATATGTTCGCTGATATTTTTTTTCTATAAGCTGCATATGACGGGCAGATGGCATATAACTGACATAAGGTTAGGAAATATTCACCTGTATTTAAAGCCTATGGCGTTGCAGATAATGCGATAATGGGATGTCGGATGTCACCAAGTAGCTGCCGATTTGTACATCGCTATGCAACCATCGAACAACGCAATAATAAGTTAATTGCCTGAGCTTCGCATCATACGGCTCGCTCGTATTTCAAACAGATACCCTACATCGAAAATCGTATTTGTTAGGAATCGTTAACGTTTGTTCGAAGCACGACTGAGTAGTAGGTTGAGGAGTGATGGTCCTCTTGGTCCTATATACAAGAGTCAACAAGAGCCTAACATTTACTTGACCGTCTGCTGCAATTGACTCATAGCACGTGAACTGTGAAGCGTCAGCGAAATTCATAGTCCTTCACAGATGGCAGGGGTGTCGTTTGTACAGAGGTCGCTGATGGGCACGGGTCAATGCCGCAGTCGTGGGCGGAGCCTAATGTCATATGACGTAGAAAGCCTCTATCCAGGATGGAAAAACAGTTAACATTACGAGTCAATGACAAGTGCCTGAAACATTGAAATGGCGATAAAATATCTAAATTGTAAAAGTTTCGGCCTGTCTTGAAACGGCCATGTCCTGAGCTTGGTTGAAATTCCTTCACGCATTTAAAAGTAATCGCGAAAAATTAGGGTCTCAAGGGGTCTGGCGTTAACAGTAGGTTGATCTCTATTATGGTTCAGCCCCCCCCCCCCTAGTCTGGAAGAAGTTCCCGCGCCACTGGTTCACATTAGAGTCTTCACCGCGCCCGGTCGACCGCCGGCGACTGTCCGGTGGCGTACGCCGGCAATACTTGACCATTGCGGTGGAAGGCGAAACTTTGAAGTCCGGGGGAAGCCCGGGTCGACTGGGCGCTATACGGGCCGGGTCTCAGTTCTGCTAATCTCTTCCTGACCAGGCCTGCATTCGTCATCCGGAAAATCAGGGAGAATTTTCCGGAACTAGCGAGAATCATCGGGGATCACGAACGGTATCGCGATAACGAGACATGCTGAAGATAGGCGCTCAACAATAATTTTCCGACGGAGAATATCCGAGTGACAATATTTTTTCCGGATGCCGAATGCACCTAAGGATTTCATGGTGCCATGTAATGTCATGAATGAAACGGTCGTGCTTCAACTAACTCAACATTGTCCAGCTGTAACTTTATGCAGACCACATTGTTTTCAAAATGCCTAGACCGTTTGCAAACGGCCTGGTGTCTAGAAAGTTGTCATACGGCCTAGACGGTTTGCAAACGGCCTGAAATTTCAGGCGGTTTGCATACAGCCTGGAATTTCAGCCCGTATTCAAACGGCCTGACTTTTCAGTCCGTTTGCATACTGACTGGGCTGTCCAGGCCGTTTGCAAACGGCCTGAATCGGGCCAGGCCGTTTGCAAACGGACTGAGTTTTCATACGGCCTGTAACATATACATGTAATTTGAATTAAATTAGTTATGTATTACGATACATAATTGTCTCAGTTGTCTTGAAAAAGGTGTTACAGGTAAAGATGTCCCATCTACTGAAAGCTAATGTGGCGTTTTCTGTTTATGTTTAATAACCCGGTTGCATGCTAATCATTTACGAACATGAAGGAGACAAGTTAGAAGGATTTATGGTCGGTCGACCTAAGAGTGACCTCTCAGCTATTGAAGGAATATTGTTTTATGCTCGCCGTGAAATATGGTGTCACTCCCGCTAGTGGTCTGGCAGGCGGACGCGCGGTGTTGGCTCCCGGTCCGGACGAGATTCACTCCCTCCCGCCCTGCCAGCCGCCTGGATCCCTCGGCCGCCGATCCGACGGCTTTCAGAGCTCCTCAGACAGGGGGCCAATGGGTACGGCACTGTGTGCCATCAGCCATTGCCACAGCTGATGGCTAGACACTATCAGTGATCGGGGCAGGTGTGGTCCATGTTGTATTTGCTTATCGGTACCCATCGCCAGACGGGGTACTTGTTATTGTAAATAGGTCAGTCGGCCCGACCGGGAGGTATTCCTGTAGGAGAGCAGGGTCGCTGGTTGCGCTCTACTGAGCGGAAGACGCGCGGGACGCGACGGAACGCAGCGACTCGGGTGTCGACCGGGTCGGGTCGCCGTCAGCGTCACGTCACGTCACGGTGTCTGTTGTCTGGCGCCGTCCCGGTCACCAGAGTTTGGCAGCCGGCGGATCTGTCCGCCACGCACCCAGCGCCGGCAGTGAGGAGTCGCTCAGCTGTGCCGCCGCGGAGGTCACGCGTGGCATGCTGGTGCGTTCGTCACTGGACCGCGCTGACCTAGGCCGATAGATATAGAGTGATGGCCAGATTAGAGTGGCAGTGCAGACGAGAATAATCTATCATACAATTTGTCTGGACATTGCTGCTTTACCCAATAAGTATCCGTTTAATACACTCAAAGAATACCGTCTTGTTTAACAGAGGTGCACCAAACTACATACGTTCGAAGTCTCCGCACCATTCGTGTCCCTCCCTCCCTTTTCCCCTGTCTATATTTTACGCTGCTGCTAGCTGAGCCTCACGCGTCAGTTCTCAGCAGACACCCTAATGGATGAGCATTGGCTCCGAAAGTGAATGGTATTATGGTGGTCCACAAATTACACCGTGGCCAAAAGAATGGTGACAATTTCTCACGGTTCATTTTGATAGGGGAGAGTGGGGTAATTTGGCCGCTTTTTTTAGAAAACGATATAACTTAAAATTGACGACACATTTCTGCATTTTCTCAACGCTGGCAGGTGTCGTATTCATTTTACTTTACTGGACAGTGAACTTGAAATGATAGAGTAATTACTTATATTGAAATTGTGACGTATTACAAAGGTCTGCAAGGCGGCCAAATTGCCCCACTAGCAGGGTTATTTGGCCGGGGGTGTGGGGCAATTTGGCCGGTGTTAGTTTGCGGTCGGGATTTTCTGTTATATTGCGAGTCTGCTTCAGATTCAGCAATGACGTGTGTCCTATGATGCATTTGCCGCATTTTGGAGGTTGACTCAGGGGTCACAGGGGTCAAAATAGCCAAATTAGCGGCTCTAGATGCGAAGACAGTTTTTTACGAATAACTTTTGAAGCAATCAAGCTAGGCCAAAACTTCGAGTACCATCGTAATTCTCTCGTCAGTCCGCATCGAAAGATATATGTGTTGACCTTGAGAAGTCAAGGTCAAAGGTTGACCTCAGGTCACGTTGCATATGGTCGCTTGACCTCAAGGTCACGTGATTTCAAGGTCATCATGCATATCATTCGATGCGCCTTGGCGAGCTGAACAGAATGAGACCATTTGTGCGGCTGTACCATTTTGTGTAAGGATTTATTTGCAAAAAAAAGTTTGGTAACCTTTGATGACGTCACATGCTCTTACAGTTGACCAATCGGAAGTAAGGCATCAAAGTAGTCAAAGTTGGTCATGAATCATGTCATTTATGGTACAATTGACCATGAAAACTCGGCCGTCCCAGCATATAGACCATGAGCGCACCGGCCAAGTTGCCCCGCTAGTCCCGGCCAAATTACCCCATATTGTCATTCTGAAATTTTTTGTCTATAAAGTCATCACGGCTATACGGAATTAGATAAAATTGCTCTTGGAACCGCTGAACACCCCCAAGAATGGCGCTATAATGTCTGAATTCGTTTTTAGCCCAAATACTACATGTTATACAATATACAACTTTGTAAACAGAAGTAAAAGTTACCATTTTCTAATGAAATTAACGTTTTATTAATTTTGAATAAAACTACGAGGGGCAAAGTTTTGACATTTGTCCTCCAGTTATTTCTACCCATGACAAATGAATAGAGACTAGAGTTATTTCACTCACTTTTATTAGACAGCGTACAGGTGGGGGCGGCCAATTTACACCACCGGCCAAATTACCCCACTCTCCCCTATGTTGTTGTGCTCTTTCATGCCTCATTCATCGCTAGGACGTGTTCTCATTTAGAACTGAGAAGCGTCTTTGTTCAATTTTGCATTAAGTTTTCTTTTCGTCGGAACGGAATGTGGTTTGACATTTATCACTCACGTTTATTTTTCAGTTTCCCCTGTTGATTAGATTTGAAAACAGGAAATTTCGATGCTACGAAACATGCCTAATATGCCAAAAAAAAATTATTCAAATTGGTGTGTTGTTTCGTCAGACGTGGATGCATCTTTGTACCAGCATCCCAATGTCCACACGCGGGGAGCCAACGGCACTTCACTCTTCGACCGCTAGATGGCACTAGTGGTAAGCGCCTGATGGTATGCTGTGCCGCACGACACGATGCCTGGCTCGGGCGGCCCGTCACAGGCGCCTGCTTGAGAATAGAAATTAGAGCGACACGCTTGTAAGTTCTTGCTCTTTCCCATGGGTGCTGACACCGTGGTAATGAAAAAAAAAACACAGAGCCATGTCAGTCAAAGTCTTGTAAGGAATAGGTACCTATATGCATACTTGACTGTGTTGGGTCATGCTTGCTATTACAGCCAGTGTATTTTGGAGTTCTCTGACGACAACAGTGTCTGTCACGGGCTGGGGCATCTCAGCCTTTTGGCTTGGCTAGGCCTCACTTATGGAATTCAATGAACGATGGATGGGCCTAGGTAGCTGTTTTTTGTGTGTGTGTTTAGTGACTCAATCGGTAGAAGTTAGACGGACTTCCAAATGCACTGAAATTCTCCACTCATCGTACTGGATAGTGTTAAATTACCTGTTTGAAGTAGTGCCGTTTTATTCCTACCTTTTCTCAATTACGAATAGCAATCTTATCCTTATTTCTCTGTTCTAGGCTTTAAGGCCCCAAATCACGCTATGTGATTGTCCCCGCCTGGGCTGGCCCGTCGTGTGTCATTACAGTGACAAACCGACACATGCGACAATGACACCGTTCACCCAAATTAACGTAAAAAATAGAAGCCTTTCAGCCAACCCACTAGAAGTGTCCGTTTGGTCGCGTCACTTCTCTCACCTTGTGCCCAGTCGGCAGAAACCTGTGGACCAGTGCGTGGGGCACCATGAAACAGTCCTGGCTCAGCTGATCCATGGAGAGCAGCTCCTGCTCACACGGTTCGGGCGGGGGCGGCGGCACCACAGTCACTGTCGGCGGCTCCTGGGCCTGCTCCTCCTCCTGGCGTGACCGGCTGGTCCTCCTCTTACCACGGCCGGTCAGCCAGCCGACCAGGCCCGAGCGGCGCGGCCGCGATTCGCCGTCGCCGCCGCCGCCACCGCCCCCGCCGAACCCCAGGAAGAGGTGTGTGCGCGTAACACGCTCAGAGGCCTCCTGCTCGGCGGCGGAGGCGGCGGCGGCGGCAGCGGCGGCGGACCGCAGTCGACGCGGCTGCAGTTTGACCCGACCTCGACCGAGCGAGAGCGGCGAGTGGCCGTCCGAGCCGCCCGACCGGCCGCCGCGGTTGTACAGAAAGTTCATGGTACGCGACTGCTAGTAGTCGAAAAAGTGGCAGTTCAGGTCAGGTCAGCCAGAAGACAATGACCAGTTAGTCCTAAAAACATTTGTTGTTTTTACGAGTAGGCTAAAGCTTTACATGCCTCTTCAAATGGATTATTCACGGTTCATAATCCCTTCACATGCTCTTGTTCATTCTTATTCTCACATTTCTTCTTAACTTCAGAATAATTCAAAATCGTTTACTTCTCTGCTTCCATGTTTTGATTCACTAACAAGCTTCAGTACTGCTCAGACACTCTCTCGTCTATCAACAGCTTCACTTCTTCACAAACTAGCCACCAATCCCTCAGCACCTCACTGACCCGACTAACCACGACAGACGTGGCCCGCACACCGCCCACCCTGCCTGCCCACCACCGACTGTCGGCCCAGCTGGGCCCGGTCCGGCCTCCGACGGGTCACGAGCTGTGCCAGCTCCGACGAGCGCCTTCTGTACCCTTCAACAGAGGCTCGGTCACCCACCATCCGCCCTCACCTCACCGCTCCCTACAACATGTTTCCGCCAGCGCTGTCTACCGCCGTCGACCACCGTGTAAGCGAAGAGGAGAGTTGCCATCGTGTGTCAGGAGAGGAGACAAACAGGCTTGGCGGAATCGGCCAACGTCGTGCCGATGTCAGTGTACTGTCGGGGACTGAGGACCGCCCGACAGTCGGAATATGTAGAACGAGGGGTGGCATTGGTATGACGAGGCCGCAGCTTCTCACGTTGTTTGGAATAAGTAAAAGTGGGATCAGTGAGATCGATGTTCACCAAATTTACCTCAAAAGATGCCTTACGTAAAAGAAAGAGAGAGAGAGAGAGAGAGAGAGAGAGAGAGAGAGAGAGAGAGAGAGAGAGAGAGAGAGGGAGAGAGAGAAAGAGAGAGAGAGAGAGAGAGAGAGAGAGAGAGAGAGAGAGAGAGAGAGAGAGAGAGAGAGAGAGAGAGAGAGAGAGATAGAGAGAGAGATGATCGAGAGAGAAAAAAAGAGGCAGGGCGACGGGAGAAAAGGGTAGCAAACACAGGCAGGCAGACAGAGCTATCACATTTATATTACGAAAAATTCCTTCTATCGTTTATGCATCATAAATTAAAAAGGCAAAGGAAAGGCTGGACTGGGACGGCTATCTCGCGGTGTTACAGTACGTTTGCTGCCTCACTCCGGTTGGTACAGAAGGCCGCCGTTTGCCAAGTATATTTTGGTCGGCTGCCCACTTCTGTTTGCGTTCTGTCGACTGCGGCCACACCGCCCACCCAACTGGGCCGTCCAAAATGTGGCACAACACACGGAAACAGTTTTTGGCAATCAGCAGAAACAACACGCGATTGGGGCAGGTTAAGTGACACTGGTCGATTCGCAATAACACAGGTGCGTACTGGTGACAATTCAATTTAACGACTTATAAGTTATATGACCCTTGGCAGATGGGAACATAGGTGGACAGTTACCTTATATGTATGACGTACGTTGGAAAATTTATCGTGGAAGCAAAAATGACCATGCACCACAGCTGATATTGTTTAAGGGTTTTTTTGCAACAGTTATATTTAAAATACGTCAAGCATTTTACCGACAAAAACATGACACTGAAAGTCAGTCAACGGTCAAGACCGGGAAGCCATGCCTATACGCACACAGCCAGCACAGTTGCTGAGTACAGCTGTGGTCCAGTCTTACCGCAGAATTCAGACGTATTGTCGGTCACACTGGCCGGGACGACACTTGTGGAATGCGTCATATGTATGCGGCTCATTACTCATCGCCAGATGTGCTGGCTTGACGACGCTGTACCTATACCTAGCCTTTTTTAGGAGGGACACTTTACAAAAGAAGGCAAACCTTAACCCTGTTACTCTACTGTTAACAGTTCGCAATTACTGCCACATAGGTATTTTCTTGTGAAAAATGAGTGTTTTCTAGAGATAAAGACGGTTTAATAAAGCATAGCGCACTTTGTCAGTAGATTACAAGATGTGTCATTTCCTTTTGGATTTGAGTCTGTCGTATGATGTCATCGTTTGCACTGAGTGTAATGTGGATTTTCACTCCGTAGTCGCCTCGGTAAGTACAACTTAATGCGTATTTGGACAGTTTTTCTTCAATGAAACGCTTGAAATAAATTGTTGCAGTAGACTCATACAGCCTACATTCAGGCGCTTACCGATGTAGGTAATTGCGGCAAAACCCGCATTTAAAGGGACCCTCCCACCTTAACATTAGTTTTGAGTTGAGATAGCCAAATTGGTGGCCATGACCTGCAAATACCGGTTTGGACACTCACAACATCGAAAAATGCTTTAATTCGAATTTCGCGAATTTCGAATTCGCGTGTACCGAAGCTGTGCGGCACAGCCTACATTCAGGCGTTTATCGATGTAATGCGACACATCTACATTCAGGCGTTTATCGATGTAATGCGGCACCTCCTACATTCAGGCGCTTGTCGATATAATTCGGCATCGCCTACATTCAGGCGTTTACCGATGTAATGCGGGACAGCCTACATTCAGGCGTTTATCGATGTAATGCGGCACAGCATAAATTCAGGCGTTTACCGATGTAATGCGGCACAGCCTAAATTCAGGCGTTTATCGATGTAATGCGGCACAGGCTAATTATTTTTAGGCGTTTGCGGATGTAATGCGGCACAGCCTGTCTTCAGCCATTTATCGATGTAACTGCGGCACAGCCTGCATACAGGCGTTTACCGATATAGTGCGGCACAGTCTGCATTCAGGCGCTTGTTACTAGCTCCATCTATGGACGGAAATATAAGCTGGTGTCTTCCGCCCCCATGTGTCGTCTCCTGTGTACACTCGTTAGTCGTTAGTCATTAAATGCTTTCAGATGATGTCAAAAAAAAAATCATCTATGGACTCAGCCACTCTAGGGAATATCTGCGTTGCGTTTAGACTGTGACGCACTCGAATTTGACAATAGGTAGGTACCAGCGTTTAGGCGACGACGGCGGCTGTTGGCGAAGCTATGACCCTGCTCAGTGCTCAGGGCCATTACCCTGAGCTGGGGTGGCTTCTGAAAGCGACGCCTCGGCCTGCAGGTAATAAGTCATCGTTTGACAGATAGCACGTGGTGGATGTTAGAAGGTATGCGGTATGCCATTGCCAATTGCTAAATAGGTGGACAGGTGGTCAGACTGACAGGCCGCGTGTCTGAACGATAGCAAAAACGGCATTGGAATTTTTGGGTGGTGAACTGACAAATTGTCGACGGACGACGGTTATTCATAAAATAATCAAAGTAGTGACCCGGGGGAGATTTTCTGCTTTATAGCGGCCAGCGGCATGGGCGTAGGAACGGCTGGAACATTGTGGGTGCATGGGTGCAGAAATCCAGCCATGGCCGGTGTAGCGGGGGGGGGGGGGGGTAGGGAGCGACACCCGAGCGAAGGCTCGTTACGAGCTGAGGGTGTACCATGTCGAAAAGGTACCGACCGATAAGTGCATTTGGAAGCATTAACCCTCGCATGTGTAGGGGGGTCGGATGGATCCCCGGGCCCCCATGGTTTTTCGCAAATAACTCGCGCAAAAAGCGGCCGATCGCGACGAAACTTTAAGTGCCCTCGAGCTGATCAGTTTTACACCTACTCTGAAAATTTCATGAACCTGACCCAAAAGACCTTTGACCTGTGACCTGATTCTCGAGACCATGTTCGCCCGGAATCGCGATTTGGCGTATATGTCAGCTCTGAGCTCACATCCTATCCGCGCGTTTCCAGTCTTTTTGTGATTGTAGACGTTCAAACGTGTGAAACGATGTTCGTCCCATGCATCACGGTGGGTGTGAAGGTCACCTGAAGGTCAGGTCAGGTCATTGACCCTTTGATGACCTCGGCTCACTTTTTCGAGTTTTACATGTTTCTAGGGTAGTTTTTTTCGGGCTGATTTCGAATTTAGCATCCATTTGAACGTTTACGAAGTAGTTTTAGTGCCTTCAAAACATGCTACGACGCCGTCAGTGGTAGTTGACACCTACTATGGATAGCCGCAAGGACGCCTAATGGTTGACCTGACCTGACCTGACCCGATCTGGCCTAAATGCATGAAGAAATCATCTGTGATCAAAACTAACATGATATTCGTGATCAGCACCCCGAAAACCCGATAACAGCTTCACTTTACGCAGTTCTAGCAGGTCCCGATTTTCCCGACTTTTGGAACATTGACCTGACCTGGAAGGTCAGCCAATGACCTAGGACCTTAAAATTGGGTATCATCGGCTTCCTCTCGTTACGGGCAACACCCTCGTTTTTCCCGCGAAGCTCTAGCTCGATCAGGGGCCAAACGGCAGGGGGGTCCAACCGACCCTTCCCCCTCCCCCTACACATTAGAAGCTGGAAAACGCCGCACACATGCGAGGGTTAATATTGTCAATATTCACTACCGCAAAAAGTAAAAGCGGCCAACTTAGCCATTTTCGAAGATATCGGGCTAAAAATTTTGACAGTGGGTCATCGGTTCGGTATGTGTTCAATCACATGCTCCATTTCCCTTTTTTCTTCAGCACAAATGTAAGTTTTGAAGACAGTCACAATAGCAAATGCTTCGAAAGATGGATAGTGGGCAACGCCGCAACATATCCTGAATTTGCCGTGCTGCATGGGAAGTACGTCTGTCAAGACAGCCTCAGATTCAGATTCACTTTCAGAATCACATTCGGACCCCCTTAGATTTTCAAAAAAACTGGTCCATAGGTACAGTTTTGGACGCTGATTCCAATGGTGAAGTCTGTTTTTCGCCACATATTATACTTTGGCCCCTAGAGGCATTCAAAGTTTTTTGGGGGCGAAGGGGGACCCCCTTAGATTTTCATAAAAACTGGTCCATGTGTACAGTTTTGGACGCTGATTCCAACGGTGAAGTCTGTTTTTCGCCACATATTATACTTTGGCCCCTAGAGGCATTCAAAGTTTTTTGGGAGAAGGGGGACCCCCTTGGATTTTCATAAAAACTGGTCCGTGTGTA